AAAAAAAAAAAAAAAAAAAAAACGTCCACGGAAGAGAGGGGGGACAGGCTGTACTTTTCTCGTTGCCATGGCAAAGGTCAGGGTAACAGTGGCGGGGCTGCGCAGAGGTCAGAGGAGGTCACGGGCTCCGTGTGACATCACTTCCTGGTGTGGAGGCTCTCCTGGAACTTGGTGCTCGTGTAGCGGATGTGAAAGCCCTTCTTACTGATGGTGTCGTCACTATGGAAACGGATCAGCATCGCATCCCCGGGTGAGTAAATCCCCTCCCTGGGCTGAGGACGGGAGAGAGAGAGAGACATATATATATTAGATATTTCCCCCTCCTTCCAAACAGCCCATATTATCCGTTCAGTCATGCATGATATCATCAACACTTTGTCATAACTTTAATCAAAGTTGCTTGAGTTGTGTAACTACACACACTTTACATTGACACTAGTATTTCACGCCAGTCAGTTGATCTACAGGCGGCGGAAATGCTTCAAAACTAAGAAGAAAAAAAGGGAAGAAGAAGAAGAAGAAGACTGCTGATAAACACGGATGTAAACAACGTAAGTTTGAAAATGAAACTTTACGAGGATGGAAATGCATTTAATCTGTCTCAGTTATACACAAAGTCTTTTCCTGAATGTGTATTTATATGTAAACAGGAACCGTTCTGACACCCACACACTGCATCTATGTGCAGAACTTTCTACATCACCCATCAGGGAAAATTTGGGGTTCAGTGTCTTGGCTCAGGAGCCGGGGATTGAACCACTGACCATCTGGTTAGAGGACAACCCGCTCTACCCTCCCTGATCCACAGCTGCCCCAAATGATAAAAAGTTCATAAACGTTCACAAAAGTTCGTGCAACTTTAAAGAGTTTAGATTTTCATATAAAATTTCACTGGAGACACACAAACAGCTGCCTGCAATGACAAGGAGAAAAAAATCCAAAATCTAAAAGTGTAGAGAAAAATGATTTACTACAAGATTTATGGTAAAAAGATGCAGCTGGTGTTTTTTTTATTGTCAACAAATACCACGAAAAGACCAAGAACCCAACAATGACTTAGATAATATGAGCCAAAGGTTTTAGAAGTCTGTAAACAGATTGACATACAGAAAGTAAATGATTGGAAACTGAAATACATAGAAATACTTCCAAGAATCTAAAACAGCACATCATAGATTTGACAATGGTCATAAAAGGAGTTAAGTACTCACCCTGTGTGTAAACTATTGTATTTGTATACACTTTATTGATGTATTTCTTTTATTTTACTCATTTTGATTAACGATTACATGACATATTAACTGTTTTAATTGCATTTGTCATTTCATCTGGCAAAGCACTTTGCCTGTAACTTTGTTTTGAAAAGCTTTATAATAAGGTTATTATTATTATTGTATTTAAATATATAAAACAAAGAATGATGGATTCTTACCCCTGAGCCACAGAAGCGTCCGAGTCGATGTGAGTTTGCGTCGTACCCGTTGTACAGCTCGATGTAGTCATACCCACAGTCGGCCTCCTCCTCTACCTCGAAGGTGATGAAGCTGAGCTCGATGCCGTAGCCCTGCTCTGCCGTCAGCAGCCACTCACAGTCTGTGTGACCTGGGTAATTGTTGTCTCCGAACTGGGAGTGAGAGTAAAGGTTCTTCTGACGAGCGTCTGCTTTCAGACGACCTCCGCACTCTGCACACACACACACAGAGACGGAGAGACATTTAGATATTTAGATAGATAGATAGATAGATAGATAGATAGATAGATAGATAGATAGATAGATA